AAAATTCCCTTAAACTATCCTCCTGATTTTTAATTCTTTTTTTTTTTTTCTTTTTCGGCTCTAATTGGGTGCTTTTTTCTACCTTGTCTTCCAAATCACTGATTCGGTGTTCTGCCTCATTCAGTCTGCTTTTGAATCCTTCCATTGTGTTCTTGATGTCAATGTTATTTTTCATTTCTGCTTGATTCTTATTTATGTTTTATATTTCTTGTTTTATGCTGCTGTAGTTTCCACTAAGTTTCTTGAAATTCTCACTAAGCTCCTTGAGCATGCTTCTAACCATCACTTTGAACTCTACATCTGTTAAGATGCTTCTCTCCATTTCATTTAGCTCTTTTTCTGGAGTTTCTTCCTTTTCTTTTTTGGGGGGTGTTGTTTCTTTGTCTTACCATATTTGCTGACTCTTGGTATTTGTTTCTATGTATAAGATCAAACAGCTATGCCTCCCAGTCTTCGTGGGAAGTCCTTATGTATTAAGTGTTCTGTGGGACCAGTGGGCAGTCTCTTAGATCTTGAGCTGGGTGATCTAGGAATGACCCTTGTGCAATTTATTTGAGTTCTCCTATTATAACTGGATCTTGAATGTTGTTGTCCCATTTGTGGATGTGATCTCCTCACAGGCTGGCTGATTGTGAGGCTCACTCCCAACCACTTCCTGCGAGATTTTGTGCAGTTGCTGACAGAACAAAACCAAACACAACACAACATAACAAAACATACAAAAAACCCTACAAAATCAATGAAAAGGACCAGAAAAGAAGAGAGAATTAGTAAAGAGAGAAGAGAACAAGAATAATAGAAAATAAATAAAAATACTAGGAGAGAAGAAAAGGTATTATGAAAGGGCAGAGGTGAAAAAATAAAATAATAACAAAAAGTAGGGTAATAAAAATGGTGTAAAAAGAGAAAAAATATGAAGAGGAAAATAGAGGAGAAAGCAGAAAGGCAGAAAATTAGAAGAGGAAAAAAGCTTAAGCAGGAGAAAGCAGAAAAAACTAGAGTAATAAAAGGGAAAGAAAACAGAGACTAAAATATTATCAAATTAATAAAAAGGAAAAAGATGATGCAAAAATATAAATGAGGTGGCTTTTGTCTAAAAATATAAAGGAAGTGGCATTAGTCCCAGCCATTTTAGTGCCTCTTGGGAGTTCCCTTTGGATCCTGCTCTACTTAGGTGCTAGCCACAGTCATAAAGTATCCTCCTTTGGCTCACAGCAACCTGTTTGGAGCTTCAAGCCATCCAGTTTGTGTCTGTCTCCACAGAACTTGGAGGCCTGAGGGAGAGGCCAAGCTGCACCGTGACGCCAGTTTGTCTGCAGCTTGGAGCCCAGGGGTGCATCAGGGACCTTCCCTGGGTTCCCTAGACTCTGCCTCTATCCACCTTCGCCTGCAGGCCAGCTGTCAATCCTAGTCACTGAAAAACCTGTTTCTGAAAGGGCTTTATGCAGAATCGGGGGTAGCAAACCTCTGAGTCTCTGGTTAGGTGGAGGGGCCACTCATATTTCAAGGAATGTGGTGGGTGTGTTTCTTTGCTCAAGAGCTACTCCTTTGAGAGTGATCCAGAATATTTCCCTGCCCTCACCTGGGCAGAGATTTTCATTTGCAGTCCAATGTGATCAGCTGGAATCTTGGATTTTCAATCAATTCTCCCGTGAGGGGAAAGCACCAGTTAGGTTCCAGGGACAGTGCGGCAGAGGGCTCTACCCCCAAACTAGTTACTGAAGCTCCCTGAGCCAGTTCAAACCCATAGGCTTGGCCCCCTGCTGCTATCTCCTCTCCTGGAGATGCAGGTTGTGAAAAACAGTATTCCTGAGAGTGGGGCAAGCCAGATCCCCTAGGGCCTTTTTTTTTTCCCCGTTCACCTGAGCTGTTGCTTTTTCTGTTGCTTTTTCCTTCACCAGTGCCTCTCAGTAGAAATGGCCGCTTCAGTTTGGGGGAGGCACGACTGGATTCAGGGCACCCTGTGGCCACCTTTCCATGTCCTTTCCCAATCCTTGCCACCCCAGCCTCTCCTCAGGCACCTCCAGTCCACACCGCCCCCTCTCCACTGAAGCCTCAAGTGAGTAGATGCAAACAAAAATCCGGTGCTCTGAGTTTCTTTTTCTTTCTTTCTTTCTTTTTTTTTTTTAAATAATCAAACAAATGGGAATAAAAGAAACCTGTGCCTTTATCTCTGCCCAGCTCCAGTCTTCTCAGCTGCCAGAAGCCCAGCCCTGTTGCCCCTCATGGCTGGATATTAGGAAGGCTGCTGTTTTCATCTCTGTTGCTCTGGACTGGGGAGCCCAGCCTGGGGGTAGGGCCTCGCTCCTCTCAGGGAAAACTAAATCGGCTGCAGCTGAGATTCCTCCTCTCTCTCAGCCTGTCGCTTGTGAAAGTGGGCCAGACCCTCCTGAAAGTGAGCCAGACCCTCTCGCAATCTCGCCTGTCCTACCAGACTCCAGGTGGTTTCTGTCCTTCCCTGCTGTCTCTTAAACTGGACCTTTGTTGGTAATTCCGAATGAATGTTCCCTAATTTAGTTGTATTGCCAGTCTGGCTCTGGGAAGAAGTGTAAGAATGGTCTGCCTATACAGACAGCTGCCATCTCCCCTCCCTCCTTATTGATATTCTTGATTTTATATATAGTATATTGTCAGGCCCCCATACACTTGATATGCTGTGCTGGAGTCCTCTAGCTACCATGTTTTCTCAGTTCTATGAGTCCTTCAACAGGATTATTTAAGACAAAAGTCAAACCCTGATGGTGAACAGGATCCACTTACCTTGCTAATTCTTGGTACCAGCACTATCACCTACCAGTTCACTAAAGTCTTGCTATATTTAGTTATAGCTAAGAATAAATCCTTCCTGTGGAATTTATGACTCCACAAAACAACTCGTTGTGCTAAAACATGACTCATTTACTAGATTTCATATCCTAATTAGAAACTTAACAGAAACAGAAAACTGTAATAAAACAGGTTTCCCCCTATTTCCTAATTTTGTATAATAGAAGAGGGGCAAAATAATCATAAAGAATTAAAAACTTACACACAGCCATCAAGGGTCAGACCTATGTTTCCCAAGAATGGAAAAGCATTGTTTTTGTTCTTCTCTCACATTCTTTCCCTCTCTTCCCTCCTTCCCTTTCTACCTTCCCTTACTTCCCATAAGCCTCTTGAACCCCTTAAATTTTTCCAAGTTCCTTATCACCTACAGAATTTAGGGGTTCAAAGCAATCATTAGAGACCACCTAGTCTAGAAAAACTAAGTGTCTGGTTTAAGACCACATAGTTTGTGGCAGCAGAGATAGGGTTAAAGTCCAGTCTCCGTTATGATTTTACCAAATTTCCTGGTTCCTGATTCATCTTTATTCTTTGTTTACAAATCGTTAAAACTACTCTGAACCAAAGTAACATAAGGTCAAGAGAAACACAAATGGCATATTTGAGGGGCGGTGCAGGGAGTGAGGGCAGGATGTAAGTTTCTTTGGAGAACATTTACAAGGAATGTGCTACATAGAAAAGAGGGTTTATTTTTGGGAAAAGGTATAATTTATCATTTTATTTGCTTTTTTTTTTGCAAATTTTTTCAACCCATAAATTCAAACATCTATCTTGACTTTACCATTCTATTACCCATATCTCTATATTTCTAGTACATTTTGGGTGTATTTTATTGAAATATAAACATACATTCATGCAAGTGTATGAATTATAAGTATGTAGCTCAAGGAATGTTCACAAAGTGAATGCACATGTGTAATAAGCACCCACATCAAGAAATAGAACACGACCAGAAACCCCCTCATGTCCTTTTCTGGTCACTGCTCTGCACGCCTGAGAAAAACCAGTATCCTGACTTCTAACAGAGTATATCAATTTGGCCTCTTTTGATTATATATAAAGTAAAATCATATGGTATGTAATCTTTATTTTTTAACTGATTTTGTTTTTAGAGAGAGGAAGTGAGAAAGAAACATTGATGTGAGAAACACTGGTTGGTTGCTTACTACACGTGGCCTGACCAGGGATTTAACCTACAACCTGGGCATGTGCCCTGACTGTGCCCTGACCACAAACTTTTGGTGTACAGGATGATGCTCCAACCAACCATACCACATTGGCCAGGGCTAATATGTGATCTTTTATGTCTGCCTTCTTTCTTTCAATATTATATTTATGAGACTGTTCTGTTTCTTGCACTTTTATATCCTTGCTTAAAGTCTGTTCCTTTTTTTCTACCCAGTTTTAGCATCGTTGGAGAATTTAAGTAGCTTAAAGACAACTACTAGCAATTTAACATGAAACAGATTTTAGGATGAAACAGGTGGCTGTCTGAAAGTGTTCCTAACAATTACAGACATCCTTACAGTGTAGGACTTCCTTATTACATCTAAATAAAAAGGCTGTGACTGCCATGTGTGGATTTTTTACAAATCAAAATCCAAAGGTGAATCTAGTAAATAATCAGCAAACCCCTCTGGTTGAAGGATCACACTGGAAGAGCTAATGGATGTGCATTTGCTTTGTTCAAGTAAAATCCACACTACATACACCAATATGCTTAAGTACCACAAAAAGAGTTTGATTACATTACATTAATACAGAAAGTAGTTTCAGGGCTTATGAAATTTTGTAAAAAGTATCTTGTACTATCAATTTGTTAAACTCACACTAAGGACTGAGGACCTTGCTCAACCTGTAGAAGCCATAGCTGAATAGAATTACATCCCTTAGGTTAGGGATTCTAAACCTGGGGTCCCTGGATAGACTTCCAAATCCTCAAATACACAAGTTTCATCAGATCTGACTTCCTTAAATGGCAATTTTTAGTAGGCTAATGGTTCATATCAGTGTGAAATTATTTGCTTGGAACTATTGTTTATTTGATAGCATTTTTGAGAAACATTATTTATAGACACAGCCTAATTAATCCTTATATTAACCTTTGAAATTTCTTAAAACAATTCCCAAATCTGAGAGTAGTTATAGATATTTGTCTAACTGGTAAGGATAAGTACCTGCCAGCAGGTATGGGGAGACTTTCGTTCCAGGATGTACTGAGTTAAAGGTGAAGGTTCAAGTTCATATTTGTCAAAGGGAAGTTTGTCTATTACCATTGGCTCACAATCTATACAGGAGAATTTCACAACAGGATGAGATGTTCGTGGAGGCTAAAAAACAAGAGGGGAAAACATGGTTGGTTACAAGCACGCGAGCTTGTATTTTTAACAATTCTTCAACCCCTTTTATAAACCATCACTGAGATTCAGATTAGTGTTTTGAGAAACAGGGCTGCTGATCTCTAAGCATCACCAATGGCTTCAATGGGAGGAGGGCACTCGGATTCTTTATCTCTACCATCTACTTGGCAATGGGAAAAGGAAACATAAATTATAATGCTCATAACTATAATTTCAGTGAAATAAAAATGAAACTGTTTTGAATATGTTTAAGAAGTCAATACAATCTGTAGGATGAACCCTGGATTTCAGATGCACTTTGTAACCTCCAAGTATTACCTGTTCTTCATTCCTTTTTACCATGAGGTTACAGATAGTCCAGACATTGCTAGGGAAGAAGAAATCCATGAAGCTTTCTAAGGAGGCAGTGACAGCTAGAGCTACGAACAACCAAGATAAAAAATGGTAAAGGCATAGAAAGGGAAAAACAGACTGAGAAGGAGGCAGTCAAAACTCCAGGGCCCAGTAGAATTCTTCCAGTTGAATTTTTACAGCGTTTCTCACATCCACACACTTGCCTTGAATAGCTAGAGCTGGGGGTGCTTTTCCCTGGGCTGCAAAGGCCTATGTGCCTGAGGTGCCACAGCAGATTGATGGAGCAGCCATTTATTGATAGTTGTAGCTTGTTGGAATGGAGAGCACCAGAGAGATAAATGGTGGCAGCAGGACAATATGGAGAGATAAGGAGATAGGACAAGTCCCAGGGACAAGGGTGAGACATGGCTCCACCTATTTATTCTTGCTAAGAACTGTAAGGCTAATATGAATAACAAAACATCTGTTTCCTTTATAAAAGGGAAAAACCTGCTCACTTGCTTTTATGACTTATAAACCTACAAGATGTTTGGGGAGCTGAGAAAAATAGCCTTTAAATGTGCTTTTAAAGCTAAAGGCATGGTAACATGAGCTATGCTTGAGTTACTTAGAAATTCTTTATTCTAGTTTTTCCTGATTTTAATTTTAATTAAACTTTAGAAATATTTTTGGCTTATTGATTTAAACCTATAAGAAAGCAATAAAGGTATGAGTGAAGACCTGTCATTGGTAATAATGAAGTAACTTTGTAACTAAAACATTCACTCTAGGGTTTGAAGGGGCTGAGAGTTAACTGGGCATTGATATTTGACTTTGGAGCCCCAAGGGAAGGAGGAAAAGATTCACCCTCTCCCACAACAGGGGCTGAAATGGTTCTTCAATCATACATTCAGGCCTTTCATGGCCATTCCTGAAAATAATGCAGGAGCCTAAAAATAGTAATCCAGGAAAAAATGCAGTTCATGTCATAAATTTCTAAAGGTAGACAGACTACAGATCTATTAAACAAGAAAGGTGCTAAACTGAAAGAGTAGTCATCCTTTTGTACCTCTTACCCCTCTTAGGGGGAGAAAGGAAGATGAATGGGAGAATTAAATTCCTATCATTTCGCTTTTGACTAGACACCACCCCTATCCCCAAAGCCAATTCATCTGGTACTAGGAACAACTACAATATCAAACTCCCATCTACCAGATGCAATGAACAAAAAGGCAAGTAAGCCCTTGCTTAGAGATATTTTTTTAAATATTGCTTAATTACCCATCATTTAAAGGTACATTACCAAGGAACACAAGTTCATTGATGAAAAGTACATCTACAAAGTTCATAGTTATCTAATGACTCCTTAGGAGGAAGTAAAATGACCTCTGATTTGCATAGGTTTCTAAACTTTATTTTTTAGTTTTTATTGAATTTATTGTGTTAATAAAATTATATAGGTTTCAGGTGTACAATTCTATGATATATCATCTGTATATTGTATTGTGTGTTCACCACCTCAAGTCATGACTTGAATATGTTTCTAAAACCTATACAAGGTGTAGACTAAATACTAATTTCCTGAGGATATACATGAAAATCAATGCCAGCACTTCTTAGCCATTGTTTTCACTATGAAAATCAAGTCAGCTGCTCTGAAATGAAAACGAAATCACAGATTGCAACAGCATCAAAAATAATAATGCTTTAACCTCTAAAGAAGGCAGTTCAAATGGTAAAGGCAACTGAAAGAAAGAATGCCAGAATAGAAATTCCTCTCTTGCTTTTTAGGTACAAACTAGACTTCTAGCAAGAGATAGATTAGGCATAGCTTAAAAGCCTCAAAACTATATAAAAATTAATCAGCAAATTGAAAATCCAGATGGATGTTTGCCTTCTGTTTTATACTTACTAGTGAAGGTAAATTCTGATCTGGCCAAAAAGATTCTGGAATCGGCCAATGTCCAACAGGAACACCAGATTTAGAGTTAGGTCGTACATAAATGAGCTTATGACAACTATGCCATGGTTGAGCAGCAGATGAATTGCTTGGCTTAAATGAATCCATAAGTCCATCTAAAAGTTAAACAAAAGACAGACTAAGGCATGAATTTCTTTTTACAGCTGCTGATCTTCCTGTACAAAATTTTCAGCTAAAAGCAAACTATAAAAGAGTGGGTCATGAAAAATGGAAGAAAAAAAGTAATTCTACTAGATTTTTTAATGTTCTCCCTATTAACTCTTTTCATCTAATTCATTCCTTCTACTCCAACATCCCACCACCCCCCCATCCTCAATGATGACCAAAATAGGCAGAATAGGGAAAACTATTATAAAAATTAGTTTTAAATGTTCTAAGATTTGGACACATAAACATACCAAACCACCAAGTTATTTTTCCAAATTAGGCAAATGAAATTGTTCATTTCCTAGCACAGGTTTACATTTTTCAAATCTGAAGAAATAGGTCATAAATTTCACTTAGATTTCTTTAATATCCCAATTAGATGACAAAAGTATTTTTTACTAAACAGTCAGACCCAATCACCACAAAGGCAAAATAAATCTATCCAATTCACTTAAAGGTAGAAGGAATGCCGACCAAAAAAATCTATGTACATAGTTGGGGGAAGGAAAACAAAGCAAATGTATCAAGTTTATTGTAGACTAATTCATTATAGTTTCCCTATCACCAATAAAATTCCAAGAAAACAGATATCGTATAATGCTGCATGATGTATCTTGAGTAGATTTTAATTATTTAAACTAGCATATTTCATTTGCCACCCCCTAAAACAGGGCAAGGCAGAGTTACAGAACCTTTAATGTGATCATTCATCAATCTATATTATATATGTAAAGGATATATTTTAATTATTTGAGTCTCATTTTTTCTAAATACAGGTCATTTGATTTACTTATTTAAATGTTACTTTAAAGAAGTAACTACTTTAGATCAAGAGATTTATTGGGATCTATGGAGCTCTAGGGAATACATGTAATGGCTTCAGGGGAACAAGACATCCTCCTTGAAGTGGGGTTCACAATTCTGGGGATGTGCCTTTTTTTGAAGGGAGAGTTCTTAGCTTTCATCAGAACCTCAACAGTTAACAACTCTGGACAAAGGGAAAATGGAGCTGGAAAGAAAATCTGAGCTATTTATATGATACCAAATCCAACAGGTTTTCAATATGAAAGTTCCCAGTTCATGTTAAGGTAATGAACACAAAATTATGGATCGAACAATAAATTGTTAGCAATATAACATGTCCTTCCTTTATGATTAACTTAATTTAAAATAGGCTGTGATGCCTCAGTCTTCTATGACAGGTGTTCTTAAACTGGATTTCAAGAAACCCCTGAAATTAAATACAAAATTGTGTGTGTATGGCCTATATCCATTTTCCTAGGGAGAGAAGTCTCTATTTTTCCAAGTTTCTCAAAAGTTTCCAGGAACTAAACAGCAAAAAGGTCAGTAACCACAAGATCCACTGCTTCAGACAGAAATGTATATCTTTCTGCCTTTATGCACTTGAGCCCCTTTCTTTTCTAGGCAGCTAGCTACCACTGATTGTGTCCACAGTAATTAAAATGGGTGGATCAGATCAAACAAGCACTTTGGTAATGAGGTACAAACAAGTATGTATGTATGAGGAGAAGCCTTGTGATGCAGGTATGATTTGAGGGAGAATGTCCTTCCTCTATACAAAAACAGCTCTGCTTTTATCTATTTTGAGATGTTGAACTTTCAGTAAAATTTCATTTGAAGAGAAAAAGTTCTGCAGTTAAAAAGTGTCAAGGAAAAATACTGGTGTAGGATCTTACAGAATACTAGTAGTTCCTGCATAAACATTCACAGTCTCTTGCTGGCGTGTGGTAACAAACACAAGATTTCATAGATAGCTTGGCACATATGGTGCTCTCAGACCAAAACTAGTCAAGTGGCACTCCATAGTGAATCCCAGATATTTCATAAATACAGAGATAAATAATTCATCCCAAGACAGGGGCCAGGAAATATGAAATGGGTAGGGAAAAGGAAGAATTTTCTTCGGAAGATTTGACATGGAATTAAAGTTGCTAGAATTTGGCTACCTGACATGTATATATAGGCAATGAATAAACGGTAGTCGTTTGGATAGATGTTTGTAACTACTTGAATCTATGTGGATAGTGAAGACTGTTGTCTATTATGATTAATTTAATGTCTTCCCAATCACAGTTGGTTCTCCTCAATAACACTGCATGGTAAAAACAAAGTTATCTGCCATACCTTCTCCAATAAGAAGTGGATCTGGTCCCGTTTTCTCAAAGTTAATAACTACACCACTCTGAACTTTTTGAACTAGAGATTCTAAACACTGATTCAACATTCTTTGTGTTCTAACACAGTAGGAACGACCTATACCAGAAGGAAAAACAAAGAGTACAAGTTTGATCAAGTACAATACTACTTCACAATAGAAGCATTTGCAACTCTAAAATATAACTTGAAATAATCATAACTACATAAACAGCAAACATCACACTAGTCATGAGCACAAGCAGCAGAGTTAAAAAATTCTGAAGGAAAACAAGACTGGATATGGTATTTAAGAAAAACTATACTCTGCTGTCCTGAATTCTTCCTTTAGAAATAGTAAATAATGACAGTACCTCCAGTGACTTCACACATCTGTGTGATAGCAGATTCATCAGTTGGTACACTCCCTAGTTGCTCTGGCTCAGTAGAAGCCAATCCAGGCAAACGCAACACCAAGGCAAATAACCTTTGATCCCAACGAAAAGGTTCTTGGGTTAGTTCACTCCCAGGTAGAGGAGAATTCAAAGGAAGATGAAGCTGATAAGGCAAAATTTGAAAAGTTTCATCATAACAACCTTTATAAGAAGAAAGAGTTAAAGAATTAAGGGTTCACTTTTCTTTCATGTACTCGATAAAATAAAGCGATCTTTCAAGGATTACCAAGAGAGAAGGTTTCATTAAACTTATCCTTAACTAGAAATGTATGCCTCCCACAGAAATAGCTACACGTCTCTTTGCCATTTAAAGAAAAAATGAAGTCTCACCTCTTCTTGAATACCAGCCGTACTTGTTAACTTGTTCCCATCTGTGATGGTAATTAAAATAGATGGTTCTAAAAAAAATGGATTTCTCCCCTAAAATACATTTAAAAAGTATTAGAGCCATGTGAAGTACTAAAATTGTATTTAAATTTTACATTTTCTTTGCCAGTGAGCTCCCAAGAATGGGATAAAGTTTGCCTGGATAAATAAGAAGGAAAAGATTAGGGACTGAGTGGGTGGGAATAAAAATACTCCCTAAAGAGGTAACATTCAGAATAAAATAAGAAATTATTATAATTCTAGAACTCCTAAACTGTAATATCCAAACACTCCTCTCCCTCTGCTTTCCAAGTAATCATAAAATAAAGATATTGAAGAGATTATAATGGCAGTATCATCCATACCATCCACCTGAGTCAAAGTCCTGGCAGATAGGGGGACATTAGTGACTTAGGTTCTGCAACCTGGAGAGTGACTCCGGTTATTGTGAGCAGCGTTTTTAAAGTAGGAAAGGACAATGGTAGCAGCTGCAAATGTTATTCTGCCTTCCTCTCATCTAGAGCTTCTTCATTGAATTGAGAGGGATGAGGGACTTAAGAACACTGAAGGTTTCTTTTCAATTGTCTTGATCCAGTATTTCTCAGCAATTTATTCATCCCGTTCTCAGATATCTAATGATTTGATGGGTAGGCAATTTTAACTACTTTATAATCAAGCCACATACAAGACCCCCCAAAAAGAGGAAACTTAAAAAATATGTAATTAACAGATATATGGACCTCTTTTTGGAAGTTATAAAAAGTAGCAGAAGACTTGATAACCATCCCCAATCTTTTATTCTTACCCCAAGTCACCAAAATAAATTAGCTGTACTCACTCAAAAAATTTTTTACCTGTCCATAATTGTCTATTCCAGATATCAATCTATTGAGATTTAACAAATCAAATGAGGATCTTAGTGCCTGACCAAGAGTAGTCAGTCCAGAAGCCTGAAGATTTTTTAGTTCACTCATGAATGTTGCGTGATTTTCCTTCCAACCAGCCTAAAAAAAAAAAAAAAAAAAAAAATTACAAAGAAATTCCTGATTATACAGTGAATGCTATATAAAGTACAAACAACCACTAAACAGCAAGTATCAAACCTCTGACAAATTAATAGTTCATTAATCTAATTCAATTCTATATCTGGACTGAACAAGTGGAACTAAGGCATGTCATCAGTTTCAGAAGCTAATAATCAAGAGCAAAGATGCAAACAATGCATTGTCCATTATGGCTTTGGCTCAAGAAGTTGTTTTCTATTCAGGCTCAAACAAACCCACCCAAACACCTCAGTATTTGCCTTAGTTTGACACTAATGATGAGCATGGACTAAGGGGTAGAGGAAGGAGTAATTTTTAAAATGCACCATCCTTGAAAGAGAGATCAGCTATTGGATGTCTGATCTACATGAACTTTCAAACCAAGATTCTTCTTCCCAAGCAAGAATGAAAGGGGGTTATAGGAATAGAGCCACAACTATTTGTAGATAACCCTTCTGGCATCTTTAAGCATTCAGAAAGCCCCAAATCTAGAATAAGGGAAGAAAGAAAATAAAAACATTTTGGCAAAGAAGCAGCATCCCCTAGGCACACCCAGCAGCTATGATCAGAAGAAAAAAACAAAAGCCCAAGGTCAATATCCAACATGTTATGAGCGAATGGTTTTAGAATAGAAGAACCGCGTTGACTGATAAAAACAAAGCAACACAAAATGCCAAGAAGAGAAGCCAAAAGAAGAAAGCAGCTAACAGCAGGTCACAAAAGAGTAGACCAGCAAAGGAGAGAGCAGACAGTACAGTTTGGCAGCTTAGTGGAACAAAATAGCTACTTGAGTCTTGGCAGCCCTGAGGCAAGCAGTGATATTCTAAATGTTAAAGTCATGTCCACTAGGCCAGTACAGCTGGAGGTGGAAAGCAAGAGCAAATAATACAGAGACAAATGAAATTATTTAAATTTCATATTTAGCTGAAGTCATACTGCCCATATCCACACAAATATAGTAAATACTATCTTTTCTAGTGTTAGTTTCCTGAAGCAATTTGGATCAGAATGACTGAGAGGCAGAAAAGGGGCAGATTATTGACTGCACTTTCCCATGAAGTACCTGGGTGACCTTGAGCAAAAAGTTCGGCTCTTAGAACCTAAATTTCATTATTTGAAAATGAAGAGGATTAGATAAGCAGGGACACTGTGTAAGGCTATATAATACAAACCTGGAGGAGTCATTCACAATGTAATGGTGAATGAGAATGGTGCCCCCTAAGGTTGAACCTGCATAATCATACAAGGTAAAGGTGGTCCTAATTAAGATCCATTCCAGTCCAATAGTCTGGGATTCTGTGTAATTAAAGATATGCTTAGTTTTTCTAATATTAGTAACATATTCTGTAGCTCAAAGGATCTAAAGGTAAAACCTTGCCATGTGTTCTTTTGGCCAGATTATATATTTTTTTAATTTAATTTATCTGGTATATTAAGATTAAAACACATGGGGATTATACTCAAGGAAAACATGTAAATGTTACAAACAATGAAAACATAAAAACTTTGTAATTTACAAAGTTGATAGGGTAAAGTATTACTGTGTATGTTGAGTTCCTCATCCTTCTGGCTGAGAATCTAGATAAAATCATTCAAATCTGAAAAATAGTAGAGGTATGTATACCATTTCAATGTATAAACACTAAAATAATGTAAGCAAACAAACTGGAGAGCACATAAATGTGAGGAGATAGTGAGAAACTGGAAATATATTACATATTTTCTTTTTTTTAAATGTCAAATTTTATTATGTTTTTATTTATTTTTATTAATTAATTTATTTTTGTTACAGATGTTTCTCCTTTTCCGCCACTGATTCCCCCCTCCGCCTCCCTCCCCCCATCCCCAGCTTTGTTGTCCATGTCCATTGTTCATGCATACATGCATATAGGTTCTGTGGTTTATCTCTCCCCCACTACCCCCTCTTCTGGGGATTGTCAGTCTGTACCCCACTTCCACGTCTCTGGGACTACCCCATTCCTCAGACAGTTATGTTCATTATATTCCACAAATAAGTGAGATCATAATGATACTTGTGTTTCTCTGTTTGGCTTGTTTCACTTAGGATAATACTTCTACTTCTAGGAATATACCCTAAGAAGCCTGAAACACCAATCAGAAAGAATATATGTACCCCCATGTTCGTAGCAGCACTATTTACAATAGCTAAGATCTGGAAACAGCCCAAGTGTCCATCCGTAGATGAATGGGAAAAAAAAGCTGTGGTACATACAATGGAGTACTATGCAGCTGTAAGAAAGAAAGATCTCTTATTCTTTGAGATGACATGGAGTGGGCCTGGAAAGTATTATCCAGATTAGATTTTATATATGACTTTTAGTACCAGGGAAAAGTAGGCCTGAGAATAATTCCTTGTGGCCCAAGGAAAATCTTACTGGACTAGGCAATCTAAACTTGAGCTAAAAAGAAGAATTATGATTTTATTTTATTTATTTATTTATTTTGGATGTCTGTGTATTTTATTTTATTTATTTATTTTTAAATTATTTCTATTAATTATTTTTGTTACAGATGTTTTTTCCTTTTTCTCCCATTGGCACCCTCCTCCCAACACCCCTCCCCTCCCCCGCCCTGTCCCCAGTTTTGTTGTCTATGTCCATTGGTTATGCATTCATGCATATAAGTTCTGTGGTTTATCTCTTCCCTCCCACCCCCATTCCCTCTTCTGAGGTTTGGCAGTCTATACCCTACTTCTATGTCTCAGAGTCAATTTTGTTCATCAGTTTGTTTTGTTTATTATATTCTACAAAAAAATATGGTTTTAATTGTCCTCATCAAATACCTAGAACTATCAGCAGGTGATTACAAATCATACTGAATTAAAAATTAGCTTTCCTCTTTGAGTTAGAAGAGAAAGGTGTAGAGTTGGGAGGGATAGCATCTATTCTTCCCTTTATTTACTAAAAAAATCTTTATGAACCAACTTTGATATGTTCGAAAGAATGTTATATGCTGGGGATGTAGAGAGGAATTAGCTTTGAGGAGTTTCCGCCACAAAGGAATAAGGAATGCAGTTAAGGAGTCTAAAAGATCAGAGAGTTAAGGAAGGCTTCTCACAGAACATGGGACTCCCCACAATGAAGTAAGGAGTGGAGGAGGCAGGCCAAGGGAAGAGATTAGAGAGTCCATAAGAGTATGCATAACCAATGGACATAGACAATAATGCTGGGAGGGTGGGGGGAGCGGGATGCGGAGGAGGGTGTCTGGGGGGGAGGAGAAACATCTGTAACAAAATTAAATTAATAAAAATTGAAAAAAAAGAGGATAGGGACTGCTGGAGAACCACAAGTAATTTGATTATCATTTTTCTTGGTACATGGCAGAAGTCAAGGCTGATAAGTCAGGCTCTGACTAGAATGCGCTTTGTACATTGTGCTTAGTAGTTTGGATCTTATCTGTTGTCCCTGGGAATAACTTGAGGTTTTTAATTAGGGGAGTGGCATGATCAGATCTCTGTTGTAGAAAGTTCATTCTGCTGGGAGTTGGAGAATAAATTGTGGGTTGGAGCGGAGGCTGAAGCTTGAGGCATGGAAACTGGTTTGAAGATTGTTAAAACAGCTTATTAGAAAAGTGATGAAAACCTGAGGGAGGGCAGTGGGGATGGAGAGGTGGTTGCAGATAAAAGAAGTATTTCAGAGGTGGAGTCATAAGGATTTAGTGTCTAATTAAAGGGATAGGTGAGGGTAAAAGAATCATACATTAGGTTGAGGTTTCTGACTTGGGCAAACTTATAAATAGTGGGGTCCTTCACACAGAAACCACTTTATAAAATTGACTTTACTTTCCACACTGTAAACTTGAGTTAAATCTATAGCAAGTGTTGAACTCCAGAGAACCATAAGATAGTTCACATCTTGCCCTGGTTGGTTTTTCTCAGTGGTTAGAGTATTGGCCTGTGGACCGAAGGGTTGCGGGTTCGATCCCCAGCCCTGATTGGGATCATGCGAGAGGCAACCAATCTATGTCTCTCACATCGATGTGTGTGTGTCTCTCTCTAAAAAAAATAAGTGGAAAAATATCCTTGGGTGAGGATTAACAAACAAACAAGAATATAGTTCATGTCATAACTAAAGAAAAGTTAGCAGACTACTTGATTTGGTAAAGGGCTGGGATAAGATTTGCGTACCACTTAAGCAAGCACCCTATAATTCATCACTATTTAAAAGAATGTGTTCTGTTTGTATTTACAATAGCTAAGATCTGGAAACAGCCCAAATGTCCATCAGTAGACGAATTGATAAAAGAGCTGTGGTACATATACACAATGGAGTACTATGCAGCTGTTTCTAAGAAAGAAAGATCCCTTATCCTCTGAGACGACATAGAGGGACCTGGAAAGTAGTATCCTAAGTGAAACAAGCCAAACAGAGAAAGACAAGTATCATATGATCTCACTTATTTGTGGAATATAATGAACACAACAGTCTGAGGAATGGGGTAGTCCCAGAGACGTGGAAGTGGGGTACAGACTGACAATCCTCAGAAGAGGGAGTGGTGGGGGAGAAATAAACCACAGAACTTATATGCATGTATGCATGAACAATGGACATGGACAACAAAGCTGGGGACAGGGCGGGGAGGGAGGGGGAGGGAGGAATCAGTGGGGAAAAAAGGAGAAACATCTGTAACAAAAATAAATTCATTAGTTAAAAAATGAATAAAGAGACCGAAAAATGGCGGCGGAGTGAACGGAGCTACACAGACCGGCTCCCAGAACCAAACTGGAATTACAACTATAACACAGACAAATCGACAGGAAAAACCAACAGAAAAGCAGCTTGCGAGGACCATACAACGAGGGACACTGACTCCATCCCGGTAGGCTTGCGAAGGCGCGAGACGGGGCTGGGAGCCCACGGTCGGCAGCTCGGCAGCGGCCTTAGCTATAAGCGGCGCCCGCGGGTTACACTCCCAGGCGGCCCCACAGCGCAGAGACCGGA